ATTGGAAAAAAGTCTCTTTTACCTTCTCAATTCAAGAACAAATGCACTTATTTAAGAAAAAATGACTTATCTAGATTTTGTTTTTTTCCAGTGTACCTGTCTGCTCCGGTTCGCTCTTGTCTTCGTCCTCGATGTCAAACTCAGACTCTCGCTCCTCGTACTCCACGTTCTCATCCAGCTCCTTAAAGTCTGGAGCGAATGCACTCCAGTTTTCCTACAGCAAATAAACAGAGGATCACAAACCGATGGCAAGCAAAGGGCCTAGTCAAATCACGTCTGCCTGAACCGCAGCTGGAAGTTTATTTGTAAAATCTAAAATAGACAGACCGGGTAAATATTTGATGGATTTTATTTCTGTTCATCACTGTTACCCACCACTTGGTTCTGAGCCCAGATGGAAACCACTCCACTGGAAATGGAGGCGATGATGGGTCGAACAGGATGCCACTGCAAGAAATCATCTCAGTATCACTGACAGACATTCAATAGAGGGGTTTTATTTTCCATGTAGTGCAACGAGGCGCAGAAATCTAATTTTGGACGCCCTTACAGCGACATCCAGCAGCAGTTCTCCTCTGGTGCCGTGCAGGATCTTCACCAGGTTCCCGATGCTCTTCTCCCAGATGTAGAGGGCGTGCTGCCGGGCCGAACCGGCCACGATGTACTCACCATCTCCAGAGAAACAGCAGCGCTTCCACGGAGTCCTGGGCAGAGTAAACGTTACAAACATTTATTGTTTAAGGAACCTAACCGCCTCAGAGGTCAGGTGAAACGCTGAGGGAGGCTGATCTACCTGTTGACCAGATCCTGTAGTTTCTGCATGGGCTCTGGCTCGCCGTCCCGGCCACAGGTCAGGATCTCTCTGCCGTCGTACACCCTGATGATTCTGTCGGCTGTGTTTATCAGGAAGCAGCTGCATCATTAAAAACAAGGTGCAGACATGGAGTTCAAGGCTTAGATAAAAAAAAAACAAAAAAACCAGACCCAACCATATTTATACTACCCCTCTGAAACGATTCATGTGGAGCTTGGATCAGTTAACCGTCCCTAATTGGTTATTATGACCATTTACACATCATTCTAGCACGGTTCTTCGCCTCATATCAACAGTCCACAATAGTGATGGGTCCAGCAACACCGATGCGTATCGATGCGCGTGTCGTTTCCAGAAAGTCATGTGACCGAGGAGTTGCTTCTAACTGACTGACTCACTAATCTGTGTTAAAAACATTTCTGTCAACATGATGCATCTGCTAAAAAAAAAAGTCTCATCTTTTGCAGCTTATCATTAAAATTATCAAGAATTTTGGAGCGGCCTAAAAGGAATAGGAACATTTGAGCCGTTTTTATTTTAATTTTCTTGTTGCGTCGTCCTTTTCCTCTCAGTTATCTCTCAACTTATCTGAATTAAAGTTAGTTTCAAATTGACTCTTAGTTTATTTAGTTTTTACTGTTCTTATTGCTTTAAAATTATTATTTAAAATCCTAGTTTACAAGCATCATCATTCACATTTTCCTCAAAGTTTTCACCTCATGATATATGTTTACATTATTTATTGGCTGCAGCAGGTGTCAGTATTTTGTGAGACAGGATCAATAGTTTGGTAATGTGTCGAAACGCTTCAAGATGCCTCTTTAACCCGTCGCTACTCCACGATACTAAAGCTCTCAAGGCGGAGTTAGGCAAAGAAAATAGCATCTTCTCAGCCTAGCGTCTAGGCTGAGAAGAAGTTTGTGTTGTGAAAGGGGGAAGAGATCCGTGAATTGCAAAACTAGACACACCGGAAAACCCGGCGTATCCGTCTGCTCATGCGCTCTTTGTTATCAGAGAACCGAGCCTCAGATGAACCCTGCCCAGCCCTACTGTTGAACTAGTACTAGATTTAGCACCGTTGGGTTGTGTCTGGTACAGGTCCGGTTTAGTTTACTGGGGAAGATTCTCAGTCATCCAGGTCATAGCAATAAAAAAAAGAAAAATAATAAAATCCACTGGACTTTGTTCCCAAGTTTGAAAATGTTTCGCTTCCGATCCAGGAAGTGAAAAGTCTTCAAAAACAAAGTCCAGTTTATTTATTTATTTGAATAGGGACAAAGCACATTAATGAACATCAGTATAAAAACAAATGTAAATATGGCGGATTATAGCTACAAAGCTACTTTTCATCCGTAGTCCCTAGGCAGACAAATACATAAGAAAGAACATATTATATACAATATAAGCTTCACAAGGAACTGTTAAGAGTTTAGTGGTCACATGACTGGTTTGTTTTCATCCATAGTTTGAGTTGAGCTCTAAAGCTGATCAGTGTAGGGTTCAGTTGCGTTCCATTTACACTCACTCGGTTACCGTGCTCGGACTGTTCTTGACGGTTTCTAAAGGCTAGTGTNCTAAAGCTGATCAGTGTAGGGTTCAGTTGCGTTCCATTTACACTCACTCGGTTACCGTGCTCGGACTGTTCTTGACGGTTTCTAAAGGCTAGTGTAAACAGGGCTATAAGAAATAAAACCAAACAAAAGGTTCTGAACCAGGATTGGATTTAGAAGGAGCTCTGTCTGCATCTCACCTTCCTTTTCGTGCAAATTCGATGGATTTGATGGCTGTGGTGTTGCTGGTGCCGGTTGTAACTCTGAAGGAAGCCACAAGCTCCTGAGTGTTTGTGTTTAACACCAGAATCTGAAACATCAAACAAGATAGTGACAACTTTGACCTGGAAGTGACCTCTGGCTCCATCACATTCGCTGTCCGGTCCAGAAAAGGCTAAACTTCTAACCGCCCTCCTGGGTCTCACCTTTCCTTTGGCGTTGCCGGTGTAAATATATTCTCCCCGCCGGTCGAAAGCTGCCACCACGTTCAGATCCGAGTCGTCGTCTACAGGCAGGACAACATGCTTGGAATCGGACAGCGTCAGCAGGACTGGAGCCGACTTCATCGGACAAACCAGCACCTTGTCTCTGAAAAACCAAACCCTGTTCAGAAAAGGCTGAAAGTGACTGCAGGAGGGTTCTGAGCTGCGGCTCAGAGCTGGACACTCACATGTCCCTGGGATGGTACTGCAGTTTAAGGATGGGTGAAGGGAAGCGGAACCTCTGGTCACAGTCTCCAGTCAGGACGTCCCACTGGGAAACGATGTTGTCTGTCGAGGCGCTCACCAGTTTGTGGCCGTCTCGACTCCAACTGGATCCAACAACATAAATAAGAAATCCTGTAAGTTACCTGTGACCCGTTTTAACGCCGAGAAGAAAATGTTCACAGTTAAACCAGCTTATCGAACAGAGAACCTGTCATTATCACTTCCTGAAAGAACAGCTAACAGTTTAGCACTGAGAATTTAAAGTCGTAGGAAAACGGCTGTTCCAATAGTTGCAGTTCCGAATTCTCCCGAGTGGTGCACGACTTTACACGAGTGAATAAAGTGATTGTGATTGGTTG